GAGAGAGAGAGAGAGAGAGAGTGGCACAGAGACAGCGCATCTGTTTCCAGCTCAGCAGCTCAGCGGCAGCCGCACCGAAAGAGCGGCAAGGCAAGGCAAGGCAGCCTTAAAGAGCTCAAAATTGCAGCCACGCGCGCTTTTGCTTTGCTTTTTGGCTCAGTCAGGGCTGGAGGGGGTCGATCAGCTGGCTGCAGCCGCTTCCCTCCTCGCCTCCTCGCCTCCTTGCCACGGCGGTTAAGGTATGGCGAGGAAGCGCCCCGTGCGCATCTCGATTGGGCCTCCCGATCCGATTTCTCTGCTTTTTCCGCGGCATCTACCGAGCCCAGAATTCGGCCGCTCATCCAAGCGACGCCGACTACTTGACTTGCTCCAAGGGCACACGCTCAACAGTCACAGTGTCCATGCTGGCCTGCCTCGACGAGTCGTTCGTTGGTCGATCCACTGATTGGCAGATTGGGATCGGGCGCGTTGGGCACGCAGCTAGAGAAGCGCCGGGGGGGAGGGCGTGTGAAGAAGCGTGGCTCGGGTAGGCGAGGGCGTGGGTGCGCCACTCCGAGACGCTCGGAACGAGGCAAAGAAAGGAGGAGGCCAGCACAGACCAGCAGCACCGCATCCTTCCGGGACGAGAAGATGCAAATGCCGTATCCAAGTTCGCGCGCTCGTCTAGCGTCACCGTGACGTTCCATTACGTTTTTCGCACTCGCCGCGCCTCCCCGATGGCTCCTCCCCAGCCGATCCTGAGCTGCGTGTGTGTGACTGTTGCTGGCTCCAACACGCGCGCGGTCAGCAGGACGGACGTGCGCGATAAGTTGACTTTGCCCGCCATCCATCCATCCATCCATCCGTCGACGCCCGTTGGCTCCTTGGCTGCACTCACCGACTCGCGACTCAAATTGGGCGGCTCAGCTGTCCATTTTTCGACTTTTTGCATTTTTGCACATTTTTTTTTTTCGTGCTTCTCTGCTGTTCGGCGGGCGAAGGGCACTAGGGCGGTGTGAACAGGGACCAGCAGAGGCAGGCACGCAGGCCCAGAAGGCGGTTTCAGCTGGCCGCTCTGCTGAGTGCTCTGCGTTGGTTGGCGCGCGATGCTGTGCGTCCTTCCTTGGGCCCAGAGGGAGGAAGTGCTGCTGCTGCTGCCCCCCTTCTCGTTTGGCTCCAATTCCAAGCTGCGAAGCCGCCGACTGCTGAGCAGCTCTTCTTCCGTCCGCGGCTGAGCTCACTCTGCTGCTCTTCTGCTCGTCTGCTCGTCTGCTCGTCAGCTCGTCTGCTCGTCTGCTGCTCTGCTGCTCTGCCAGTTGGGCCGGTGCGCGCGCCGCTTCCAACTTGGCTTTGGGACGCTGCCACCGCTCTTTCCTTCCGGAGCCGCCGCCGCCGCTGCTGTCCTCCTCCTCCTCCTCCTCCAAGTCTTCTCGCCATCGTCTTTCCATAACCTCGACACACACCGCTTGCTCTTTTCCACCATCGTTCATCCGCTTCCAACACCGCATCCCTCGCCTCTCGACCCTCAACGCTCCCGATACTCCCGCTCTTTCATCCCGACGTTTCTGACATCAACTCCGTCATACAATCGAGCAGCACGCACAGCGTCTTTACACAATCGCACACTTCTTCTCGTCTTCGATCCGCTGTCACCATCGCAAATCGCCCCTCTCACCATCCCCGCACACCCTTCCTCCGCCGCCTTTCAACTCTTTGACCGGGCAGCGGATGATGAACAGCCTCCCTCGTGCCTAAACCAGCCACGGTGCACCATCTTTGAACATCGTTCGCCGCTCCACTCGCAAAGTCAAGTCTCTCGATCCAATCGCATCCGCAGGTCATGGCCGCCACCAGAGCTCGCACAGAACTCGCCGCAGCCGCAGCCTCAACGCCCAAGAATGACAGATCCCTAGACTCCCCGCGCCAAGCGGCCACCCCGGCTGATTCCTCCACCACCACCGACAACACCCCGGCACGCCGCACCACCACTCGCACTCGCAAGCTCCCCAGCCGTCTCCTCCCCTCGCCTTCGCCTCCTCCCTCTCGCCCCACCTCCCTCTACAACGCCGCCAAACATGCAAAGGGAGGCAGAGACTCGGCAGACCCCGCCGACCCCTCATCCGCGCTCTCCACCCCTCTATCCGCATCCGCAGCAACCGCTCCAAAGACGCGAAAGCCAAGGCCTTCCGACGCAGAAGACCCTCTCGCCGATCCAGACAGCACCGCCGACAACTCCCAGGACCTCGGCCCAGGCAAGCGCAAGCGTCGCCCTAGCAGCATGTACAAGCCGCCTTCCACCTTGACCTCGGTCGACACGCCTTCGCCTGCCGCCAACTCCACCGCCGCTGCTGCCGCCAAAGCAAAGAAGAAGGGCCGCAGCCAGAGTCCAGACACCACCGCTCCAAAGACTCACACTCCCACAGCCTCAGCCGCTCACTCCAAGCTCAAAGGTCGATTGTCCAAGGGCAAATTCGAGTCTACCCCTTCGTCCTCGAAGAAGGTCGACGCCGCCCACACCCACGCCGACGATTCCGAGGCCGAACTCGAGCTCACCCGCCACTCGAGCGCCTCCAAGCGAGTTCGACTGGACGACGCCGACGACCTCGACCTCTCGCCTCCTCCTCTGCTCCCACGCGACGGATGCGCACGCGTGCGCATGCCCGCCCACTTCACTCAGCCCACCTTCATCCGCGGCGGCCGTGTGAGCGTGTCGCCCGAAGCTTCCGCCAAGCGTCCCGTCACGTTTGGCATTCGCGACTTTAATCGTCCGGCATTCCATCACGCCGATGCACTCTCGGGCGACCGACACAACGGCCCTCAGCCAGCCATGGCGGCCAAGCACAGTGCCCCCGCCAAGCGCTCCGACATCATGTCGTCTTCCCCCATCTCGGCAGGCGTGGCCAAGTTCGAGAGCGAACCGGGCGCACCTCTCACCTACATGCCTTTCCCATGCGCTGCACGCAGCCTCGGCCGTTTGCACAGCATGCGCACCAACCCCTTTGCCGACGCACAGATGAACCAGGACGACGACGACGACGACGACGATGACGAAGAGGAAGACGACGACGAGAACGACTTCCACCAGGCCATGCTCGACGCCGACTTTGACTTTTTCGATTCGCAAAAGACCGATGGCAACGCCACCAACAACCTCTGGAACGTCTCGCAGCGAGCCGCAACCGAGGATGCTGCCGCCGCCGAGGCCGACGACACGCCCGCCACCACTCCCCGGAGCCCGCAGTCGGGCTGCGACCTGCCTTCGCCCGGCAGCCCTCGCTGCAAGTCGGAAGACGAGGCCCAGCCGCTGCGCGCCGACGACAAGAGCATGGCGTTCAACGCGGTGCGCGACTCGGTGTTTGTGCACGCGCTGCCCACCACGCAGGTGGGAGCGGACAAGGCGTGCCAGCATGCGGGCTCGCTCACGCTCTCGCTGCCCTACACGCCGGGCGTGGCGGTTTCTTCTCCGCAGCTGCGCGCCAGGGAGCTCGAGTCGGATGGCGCGGCTGGAGCGCGAGGCATGGGCGATGCATCGAACCTGACGCAGACGGGCACGCCGGTGCTGCAGCGTCGCAAGCATGCCGCGCTGGGCGATGGCGCACACGCGCTGGCCCCGCTCAAGCTCGGAGCGGAGCTGATGGAGCGAAGCTCGTCGCACTCGGCGACGTACATGCAGCTGTCGCCGATGATCGAGATGGACTCGCCTCTGCTCAGCCCGGGCCTCACGCTCGGCATGCACGCCATGCACGCCAAGGGCACCGAGCTTCCGAGCCCCTTTATCATGGGTGTCGACTCGCTGCCTGAGCTCGAGCACCCTGCTGCGCTCGATTTGGCGGCTGCCGAGGGCTCGACCACGCCCAAGACTTTCCACCCCGAGGTGGTTGACGACGTGCTGGCCGCGACGGCGGTGAGCACTGCAGCCAGCCAGCCGGTCGAGGCGCCGCCCTCTGCACCTAAGCCGGAGCCAAAGGTCGCGCCTGCCAAGGTGGAGAAGCCGGCTGCGCGTCGGCCAGCACTGCCGCCGCCTCGACAGATCCGCTTTACGACTTTGGACACGCCCAGCAACGAAGCGACTCCTGCCACCCTCCCTCGCGTTCCTACGCAGCAGCAGCAGCAGCAGCAGCAGCAGCA